AACCTCTCCCTCCAACGCAATCTCTCTCCCACTTGCTCCCACACAGCAAACACCTCCCCAATCTCGCCCAGACACTACTCGCCCTCCAACGAATCCCTGTCTTCGCGAACTCTGCCCTGCCAACCACCATGACACGCGACATGGACATTGACACCAACGAGAACCCAATCCCGCCCGCTGGGCCCGCGTAACCCTGCCGCACCCGCACAGAACCCACGCCCAGCTAAAGCGAACAACCCCCTCAAGCGCCGTAGAGCAGACGCTGACGATGAAGACGAGCTCGAGGTCGGCCCCGCCTCCCGCCAGTCTACCGCCATACTTGGCTCTTATCCGTCGAATCTCCCTCTTGCCTACGCACGAACGCTCGATAAACTCTCCCACGACGCCTTCCGTGTACCCACCAAGATGATGCTCCACGAATACGGCATGATACGCGAAAAATCGCTCGATTCCTACAAGAGTACTCTTGCAAGCTATCAAAAAGCGATGACAACGCTCGCCAAGTTCAATCAAACCGCTTCTGGTGGCGAAATTCCTCCAATCGTCACCCATGCTATGAAGCTCCCCAAAGTCCAACTCGTCAAGGACGGCAACGATGTCCTCGACACCGAAACTGTCACCCAAGCGAAGGACGCCGCCAACGACAAACTCGACGAGGCCAAGCTGTTGACCACTGAGTATGTTCGCACCGCCGTACATTGCTCAAGCCGACATTCTCCGCGAGGCCGTCGAACCTTCTACCTGCGCGGAGGCGTTTGGTGTAGCGCTCACGGCCTACAACCAACGCATAATCGACTCCCGCGGGACAGGCACTGTCCAGATCTGGGAGATCTGTGTCAAGCGCCTGCAAGCCGAGTACTCGGTCGAGCTGGAGAACCTCTCCTTCGACTTGTGTGCCAAGCTTGAGAAGGATGCGAACGCGAAAGCAGCAAAACTCACGAAGACCAAGGTCGCTCGTCGAGAAGCTGAAGTAGCGGTCAACAACAAGCCATTGGAGGAGCTCGTGGACGAGAAACTGGCACGTGCATTAGAGAAATGTTCGTCCCATTCGTCCACACTCCTTCCAAGCCCTGCTGACTCTGCCGCCCGTCGCCGTTGCAGACCGCAACGACGACGCAAAGAAACAGCGCAAAGGGACCCACCCGCCCAACGCGGCTGCGTCGACCTCTTCCAAACCCCCGCGCGACCCCAAACCGCAGCAGGGAACGAAGAAACCGACGAAGGCAGCTGCAAAGGGCAAGAAGGATGGGAAGGCAGTACACGCAGAAAGCGCCGCAGATTCCGCAAAGGAAAATGGCAAAGCGACGAAACCCAAGGGCAACGGCAAGGACAAGGCCAAGGCCAAGTCCAAGCCCGAGACGCAGGACAGCGACTCGGACTAACACCTGCCGCCCCATCGACGCTCCCGCCTACTTCCATCCTTGACTGGAGCGTCCCGCCTGGTATTCGGTTTCAACACCACCAGCCGGAGACCTACCCCGCCGAGTTTTTTTCTGCCCCGCCTGATGTTCGTGTACGATTCATTGTCGCAAAGATGTCCGTGTTGTACTATGATACGCGCTTAATAAACCGCGCCTTCCATAACCTCACTGATATCCACCTCGATGATGATCAATCCAAGCTCCTCGCTCTCAATCCAAAGTTTGTGCCCCGGCCCAAACTAACCACCTCACAGTCTGCAACTCTGGCGTTCGACGACTGCTGTCGACGACTTAGACTTCGAGTGGATAAAGACGAGGAAGCGCGCTTAAAATTGACCAACTGGTTTGGAGGAGGAGACGTAGAGAAAGGACAACCCCGCTATGTCCCTAAATTCCACGTCCCCGTACCCGACGCCGAAGGGCCTCCATTAATCGAGGAAATCGAAGCGGCACTGTCCAAAACACGCCGCCAGATTGAAATTGAAGTTCTTGGTCAGAGCGCGATACAAATACGCCCCAACATCAACTCCAACGACCTCACAGCGCTGCTCAAGCTCTTGTCGGACCACCACATAGTGGCAGTCCCAGCAGACAAGAACCTTGGCCTCTGCCTGGTTACAGCGGAATGGTACACGATGATGGGACGGAAACTCTTGGAGAATGACTCTTATACCAAAGAACACCCGGACTTCTACTCGCTTAACCGCGCGCTCAAGAGCATCATTCGCAGAATGAAGCACTTGCTCACGGATCAGCAGTATAAATGGTTGACGGACCCACTCGATGGATACCACACCAAAGTCCCGACGCTCAAAGTCATTCCCAAGATCCACAAATTGCCGATATCCGGACGACCCATCGTACCAGCATTTGGCACGCTGCTCGAAAACGCATCCGCGTGGGTTGATTTCCAGATTAAGCCACTCCTCAAGAGGTTCCCATGGATTCTACCCGATTCGAAGACATTCTGTCGGGATATACTCAATGTGGACATACCGCGAGGAGAAGACGTATGGCTGGTCACTGGGGACGTCGTGGCGATGTACCCCAACATCCCCATCGACGATGGCATAAGACAGATTGCCGCCATCCTCGGCACCTCACCGATGTACTTTCGCACGTTGAGTGAGGCGACCAACCTCAGGCCTAGGACACGCGCAGAACTAGTCATCCTCCTTCTGCGAATCGTCCTACGCTACAACTACGTCGAATTTGCGGGCTCTACGTACCGGCAGATTGTCGGCACCGCAATGGGCACGGCTTGCGCTCCAACATACGCAAACCTCTTTCTTGCCCTCTTTGAAGAGCAAGCGTTGACGGAACTGACCGACATCATCCGCTTCTACAAGCGATTCATTGACGACACGTTCGCCATAATACATGGATCGTATGCGGACGTCCTTCGGTTCCAGAGGCGTTTCGGATCGCTGCACCCAAACATGAAAATAGAGTGGTCAGCATCCAGACTCTCGTTGCCCTTCCTGGACACACAGGTATCGTTGGGACTGGACGCTGCAGTTGCAGCAACAAACCCCCAATTCCGAATCACGACCAGTGTGTACCAGAAGGCACTCAACGCATACCTCTATATCCCCTGGAATTCGTGCCACTCGGCTGCCTCCAAGCGCGCTTGGGTCAAAGGCGAGCTGATTCGCTACGTGCGACTTTGCTCGATGGAAAGCGACTTCGCTAAGATGAAAGCCATCTTTTCGAAACGCCTCCGCGAGCGTGGCTATCCAGGACGTTGGGTCCAACGTACCTTTGATGAGATCGTGTACCGAGACGAGAGGCCCAGCGCCCTCACACCTGCCGCGCCGAGTAACGGCACATCAGCAGAGTCCGACCTACACATCCTCAAACTCACCCATAATCCAGTTTGGGACAATGTTGCACTTGGTCCCATCTGGCATGATCTCGAGGACACATGGAAGAACGCTGGGGCTGGCTACCCCGACTTCAAATTCATGGCGTCATTCGCCAAAGGATCATCGCTGGGTGACCGGTTTAATAAAACGAACCGGGAGACGTTGGATAACTATCATGCACTGGTAGCGACAACTGTTTAACCCTCTTTTTTTCCTCAATCCTCACTCGCACGTCGCTCCGGAAAAATTAGAGTTTATTATAACAGTGTCCTCTATTTACAGCAATTTATGGCTGTCACCAACCCAGTTGTTGAGCCCTTTGTGCTCCGACTAAGTGCCTAATCATCCCACACTGCCTATTTTAGTATCCGTCCGGGATACACACACACGCGGTTAGGGAAACTGGTTAGCGGTGACAGACTCTGTTGCCCCGGGTGGTCTACTGTCGCCGCATAGCCCATGACGTGCTGTAATGGGCCGGTCAGATACCCGGTAAGGTAGAGCGAGAGCGAGCGCACGTCTGAACCCGCGAAAGCTGGGCGTTCCGGCGCTCCCCTCGGCGCGTCATCGCTGGCATCACAGCCATCAATGACACCATGCTGATAGAAGGGACACCGCCACCTGACGAGTCTTTCAGACGAAACGTTAAGCGCCAACGTCGTGGCCCCGCTTTTCCTCTACAAACTCCCCCAGCACTCAGGCTTAGACCCGCTCCATCGGTCGGCGGCTCGCCCTCCTTCGCTCGCAGGAAAAAAAGTGCACCAAGTAAGAATTGAACCTAAAGCTATCAAATTGATGCCTAAAGCTTCCATGAGCCACAGCCTGACACAGCAAGATGCTTTGACAAACCGGGTTCCTATCATCATCTGCCCTCCTGCCATAACAGGAAATTGAACACCTCACATGATCATTGTTGATCAGTGGAGGGTTCCATTATGCTGGCAGGAGGGCTGGTGGACAGTTCCATCACCAGGGGTGGAGGGCTGGTGGAGGTTTCCATGGTGGAGCCAGCAGGGCTGGTGGAGGCATCTCCAGAGGCATGATGGATAGTCCCACTTAGCTGAGGGAAGGGTAATGGATAGTACCACAGGGAGGAAGGCCAAGCTATGGTTTGTGCCTCCCTTCCCTTGACTTCATCCACACCCCATGGCATTCTCCACAGGTGCCCTCCCCCAGACATGGCATTCTCCACCCTGGACAGGCACACCCTGGGGTTCTATCCACCCAGCTTCCCTCAGGCCTGTGGAACAATCCTCTCCCTCCTGGCTGGGACAGTGGCTCCCTCCATGTCGCGTCGCGTCGCGTCACGGTCACAAGCTGTTTAGGTAAGACAATACATCTATGAACAGATAAGACTGTCTACTTATGGTTGGCTTAATTCCTTTTTCCAACATAATCTGCAGGCATAAACTAATCATACACAGGACAGCCATCCAGGTGGCCCAGAATCGTGTTGCGGTCACGGGACATGTCGCGTCGCGTCGCAGTCATGGGTCCCAGCAAGCAAACTTCTTCTTATCTAGACAACCCACGATCCTGTTGCGGTCACGGGATATGTCGCGTCGCGTCGCGGTCATGGGCGCAAACTTCTTTTCCTCCAGGGGGCCCACGATCATTGTATCGCGGTCACGGGACGGTGTCGCGTCGCGTCGTGGTTATGGGACCTCAGTCACTCTGAACGAACACGCTTTTAGCATAGCTTATGGGAATACATTCAGGTAATAAAAAAGTCATTGTCATCTTCTTCTCCTCCAGCTTCCCCATCTTCTTCTACAACTCCCCGATCCAACAGGCTCAGAACTGGAATGAGTGCTGGATCATCTTCCGCATCTTCCTCCAAGACTCCTTCACTCCCTGAATCTGAACCTCCATCCTCGGTTTCTGCTGGAGGGAGCCTTGCTAATCGCGCTCTCAAGATCGCATCACTTGATGGACCCCAGTCTGGGACACCAGGTGGCACGACCAACGAGTCGAGTAAGCGCTTCCACTTCAATAATAGATCGAGGAGGAATTCACGCCGACAGAGAAGCTGATAACCCAAGGGCTCTAAGGATAATGAGGACTTGATAAAAACAAAGTTAAGTAACATACCTTCGTTACAATTAGCCAAAGCTTCTCCAAGAGCTGCCCACTCTGTAGAAAACCACACCCTCAGGTGTCCATGCTCGCGTCTCAACCGCTCTGACTCTTCTATCGCCCGTTGCTTGCGATGGAGCGCGAATCCACCCCCTCAGCTCAGCGTTAATTAACGCCTCAGGAAGTTCGCCGTCCTCTGGTAAGCCACCAAGTCCAACCTCCAGCCACAATGCATCGCTGGCGTCGAGGGAGAACACGTCCGATTCGTCTAACTCAAGTGGAGCAAGGGCTTTGGGCGGTGCCTTGCCACTTTTGATGAGTCTTTCTATCTTCTTGACCGAAGTGTTGTAAGTTTTCACTAGTTTTTTCAAACCAGGCTGCGTTTCTTAATCGCGCAGCAGCAGCATGCTCGTTCTTCTTTTTCTCTAATTATTGTCAACTTTTGAAGATCATCCAGGAAGAAACCTCGTACCGCTGCTGGAGCGTCGCACTGAACGCTCAATGGGGTCGAACTCCATCTTGCGAGCGCGAAACTTCTGGAGAATCCGCTCATGCCCAGTAGAGGCATTCACGACCTCGGAGAAGTACTCCTTGTAGCGAAGCAGCTTCAGTGTTGCCGTGTCGCCAGTCCCTAGCTTGTTCTCGTTCTTCCGCTTGTTCTTCTTGACCTTGCGGAGGGCGCTCTCGAGCTCGGCAAGACGCTCCTGCTGTGCTAGAGCTTGGTCCCCCGTCAATTCGGCCAGAGAGAGCTCCAGCTTTCTAATCTTGCTGCTCAGCGTTTCGATACTGCGTTCTGCGGCAAAGACAGCATTGATTGTTTGCTGCCCTTGGTTTTTGGACCGACCTGGGGATCAATGAGTACGATTGAAGCTTCATGAGCTCGGAAGACAAACGTGAAATGGGCTGGGTTTGAAATGCCACCTGTTCCTGCCATTTGGCCAGAAGCTCTGCCTCCGATAGCGGGCAGGCCTCCAGCGCCTTCTCCGCCTCTCGAAGGCTTGCCTCGCAATGAAGGGTTCGGCGTTGAAGCCAGGAGCCCAGAGATTGCAATGTTCTCTGGGTATTGTGTGCAAGTTGGAGATCCAGCACGAAGACACGTTGATTTTCCTGTAAACAGTTAGTTGATGTAATCGACCCAACAAACAAGACAGACTTACCCCACAAACGCGGAGATGAGCGATTAGGTGGCAGATCGAATTCCAGACTCGCTCGGCACATTCTCCGTTTTCCTCCCCAAACCCCACACACTTTTGGGGATGGTATATGAGCTGACATGCCCAGATGTGGGCAAACGCGTGGAAAACCGAGACGGCCCAGGCGATTCGGTCCTTGTAGCGATCCAGGAAGCCCCATTTCTCGCAAGACCGCTCGGTTAGGCAGGAGATATCGTACAGCAATCCCAGTTTGATGCTCAGCGGCAGATGTTGCATTAGCTGTTCGATGAGGAGGAAGACGTAGTATTGCTTCTCCCCAGCGCTATGCATATTGACGAGAAATAAAGGGACATCGTGGCGGCAGACGAGAGCCATAAGGCCCGTTTCAGTGAAGAAACGAGTGCTCGCCTTCTTGCGCGACTCATCAGCGGCTTTGAATGACTCTTCGCAGGCGTTGAGTGCTGACCGCGGCACCTTTAAGTTGCCTTCGTAACCATCTTCTTCATCCTCCATGCGATCGTCCATTGGTTTAGCCCGTTTCCTTTGGCTTCGGCCAGACGGCGCTCTCACTCCTTCGACATACGCTTCCATTGCATTAGCTGTTGCCCTGTCAATAAAGACACTATCTGGATGCCTTCTCGGGGGATCGGGACCGCTTCCGCGGGCTTGTTTGCGCCGTTTCTGGGTGAAGTTTCCGTCTATGCAGACAGCCACATCATACACTTGAGTGGCATCGCGTTTAAGTCCAGCGAAACACGCTGGACATTTACTGATTAGGTAGTCGCTAGGTCTGGAGCGTGGAGGAGGGTCGGGGAATGGATTGGATGGTGGCTTTCGAGCCGTCCTCAGAGTCTTCTGCGTCGCGATCAAGTTCATGCCGACTACGCTTTTGGCCACAAGACGAGAATGCTACTTGTGGGTGGGGCATCTCTGGGGCCATTTCCTCTCGCTCGTCACTTGTTTGGACCAGCGCCTCCGTGTCTGCATCGTGTGCATCTCGGGCGAGTGTACGAGCAGCAACAAGAGCATTGTCGACGTGTTTCCGCGCCATTACTACGACCTGAGTATACCATTGTAGGGCGTTGTTGAATCGAAGGCGAAGTTCCTGTGCCAGTATTAGCGTGCTCAAATCGCCAACCGAGAAGGAAACATACACCGCTAAAGAGCCTTAGCCCTCGTTCAGCCAGTGTCCCTTCAAGCGCACGGCAAAAGGCTGTGTTGTTGGGAGAAATGTGCAGAAACAGGTTTCGCACAAAGTCAAGCAGAGTGATGTCGACGGCGAGTGTTGGATTACACGGACTGCAAGCAAAGAATCCAGCTCGAAGTAGTTGCCTCGGGGCAGCCGCGTTGCTGCAGGTGCAGAGCTGGAGCGTGGTTTCGCTGATGTCTACATTGGAATTAACAATGGGTAAGGAATGTCGCAAAGTCTCACCGTTAAATTGTATCAGAGTCACCTTCAACACTCTCTTATTGCAGGGGCAGTGACGAACGGGAGCGGAAAGCCGTTCAATATAGCGTAGGGATTCAGTCTTGTGTTGAATCTCCAGCAAATCTTGAACCAACTTGGGCATCATTTGCGACCAATTATAGAATTGAGCAGCACGTTTTTGAGACGCAACTCCAGGTATATCGGGTTCGGGTTCATAGGTTAGAAAATCTGGCTGTGGCAGGGCTTCAGGTGTTGCTGGTCGTGCAGTCTTGGTCGGCGGCGTAGAGGTTTGTGAGCACGGTGCAAGACCGCAGTCCGGTCGCGGCTGCCGATGGCCATGATGCCAGATTTCTTAGGGGACTGGTTGTTGTGATGGCGAAGTGGCGAGAGCTGCTCGTGCCCGCCACCTCCGAGTTCTTCTCCTCGTTGAAGCTTTTGAACGTGGCTAGTGGGTAATCGCATGATGAGAGGAGGTGTTGCGACCGTTCGGTGGCATTCGGTCCGAGCTGGCCATCACGTGTGATCAACATCGGCCTTGAGGCCCAGCCGTGGCAATCAACCGCATCAATGCGCCCACCGCATTGTCCTCCTACTGTGGTGAGGGTATATAAGTGCAGCAGGGCTAGCCTGTTCACGACTTACCCATCGACCAACTCCTCACCATGTCGCACGCGTTCCCTCGCCATGATATTCGCCACTATTTCATCCCCGCTCACCAGCCGCGTCGGCACTTCGCTATGGAGGCTTCCGACGCCCAAGTGATGGCAGCTATTGCGCATCTCGACCTCGGCCCGACTGCCGCTGCTTGGTGTCTGTCCTCTGCGTTTCCTCGTTGTTCTGCGCTTACCTTCTCCACAGTAATCAATGCCAGTCGTAACGGCGAGCTGCGATATGTTTGCGACAATGATAACACTATCACAAGCAGTGTGTTATTATCATTATCGTTGTTTCAATATTCCTAACCAATTGCTTACCAGTTCTTCCTAAACCCAATTATGAAGCGTCTTACTACGCATTCGAGCTCGCCCAAGACTTCGACGCTGTCCAAGCCGCGCAAACCGAAGCACAGACCCGCCTCGACTCCGCCTCCAATGAGAATCCACATTCGGACGAGCACTTGGATGCCTTGCTCCTTTGGTTCCATGCTTCCCCGACGAAGTTTCGAGTAGCGTTCCTTGCCCAACGCCATGACGCCCTTTGCCAACGCATCGAAGCCGATTTGGGTTATCTGGAGATTTAGTGGAATATAATGTACATTTTGTAGTCGTCTGTACAAGTGTTTATAACTTCTAATGTATCGGTTACATGATGCTAGTTAAAGTTGGTTGCTAAGATATCGCCAATGTCTTCATTCTCAGCTCGGCACAAACACACAAGATGAAAGAGTTCTTGTGGCCGATTCATGGCACCAAATGGGCCCGTCGGCTCTACGGGAAACTGCACCTTAACCACCCGCTCCCAATGTAGTGTTTCCCTCGGTAAGACAAGCGCATACTGGCCGAGACGTTGCGTGGATCCCGAAATATCCGGGCCGATAACAATGACCCGTCCCGGGCTAGCGCTAATAGATGCGCCTGATTCGGTCGTTCGACACGGGACGAGAGCGGGCGCGGGCATAGCTATCTTCTTGTTGGTAGGCTCCTTGATGAATGCAATGAGATTCCGTTCCATCGATTCTTGTGTCAAGGGCCTATCGAGAGGATAGAGGTGCCCCACGCTATTGGCGGCCGCGTATTGTGGGTTTCGCATAAGACTATTGAGGCGGGAGAAGCGTCGGGCAACATATTGAAGGCCTGCATCATCTACGACCCGAACGTCTACTCGTTTTTCAACGAGTTGCGGCAGCAGCAACCAACCCCCGTTTAGCTCATCGATGAGAGGCGGGGCGCCATACATCTGGAGGAACGGGTCAGGCGGTGGGGGCGGGGTAGGCGTTCTTGGCACATCGACAAGCTCGAGATCGGGGTCATTCGTGGGGTTGGGCGCGGATGGTGGAATGGGCCGGACGCGGACATTAATCAACTCACAGGCGTCCCCGAGAAACTTGGCGACATGTAGAAGTTGCCACGTCTCTTCCTCTACGACGTAGTTGTAGGGCAGCAGGACTTCTTGTTGACCAGCTTCCAGAACAAGCAGTAGCATCAGCTGAGAGTAGTCTGGCCCGTACAAATGAGGGTCAGGTCGCGTTGTTTTCCACATGTAGTCAAGCACAGTGCCATATCGCCCCTTGAGATAGTGGGGGCCAGAGACCATGATCCGCGAGTTTCTCAACCAATTCTCGTTGTCCCGCAGAGATTGACGCCGATATCGCTTTTGACGTTCCACTCGCTGCCAGTACTCAGGCGGCTCTGTTGAAAGCTCGACTGTGGAGTCGCGCCAGTCTTCGAACTCGATCGAGTGAGTGGGAATACGGATGCCCGACACGCGATGATTGTCCTGCCGCACGCGTTGTGGTTGGTCGAGCGCCAATGCCTCGTTCCACTCAAGAAGCAACTCGTCGATGAAGTCGGGATCCGGGGCGGGGTACAATGGCGGCTCCGCTTTCCACGTCAACGGATTCGATATCTCGAAAGAGTGGCCTTTGACTTGGCCCTGGTCTAGGTTAATTAAAATAAAAGGCGCAGACAAACAACTAACCCCATGGAATGTTATCCAGCCACCGATGTGAACCTCGACCACCAGCCCCACGCGCCCTTTATACGGGCCGCGAATAACACGAACCAAATCGCCACATTGGAAGTCGTGGGCCACAAAACGCAGGGGCAGCTCGACTTCGAAGTTCTCGAGCTCTGGCGGGGGCGACTTGTTCTCTTGAATGGGCTTCGATTGTAACTGGGCATCTTGCACTACCGGTTCAGTGGCCAGTTCCGTCGCATCTGCTTTGACTATCTCAGGCGCGGGCTTCTCTTCGACGAGGACGACGATGGTGACACTGTCTCCATTGACTTGGGTTATCCGTCCTGTTCGCCCTCAATAACTTGGACCTCCAACAATCTTGACTCGGTCTCCAAAGTGAACCCGTCTTTGGTGAGCGAGTAAATGGAGTCGTAGTTCGGAGAGGGGATAAACTAGTGCCGTTGCGAGAAGGGGAGACTGTGGAGATAGCAAAGTCGTGCCGTCGTATTCCTTTGAAATAATACCCAGCCTTCGCTTTCGATTGTCGATAATCTCACTAGTAATGCGAATCAGTGTTCCAGCGACGTGAGGCCGTGGTCGAATTGCAACAACACGGTCCCCTTCCTGCAACGCGCAGGTGGACCCTATGAAGGGAACGTCGAGCTCTGGAGCTGCAGACAATCGAAAGAAGTCGACTTCTTCTTCTGTTGGTCGAGCGTCTCGAGTATACGCGGGGTTAGCTACCCGGTAATGCCATCTTTTGAGCTGGATTCTCTCTAGCCCAGGGAAAGCCACGGTTCCAGGTCGTCCAAACATACGGCCCCTCCAGATGCAAACGAGGTTTTGACGCAAGAGTAACTGTTGAGGAAGGTGTCGCTCAAACATTTCCTCGTTGAACAAGCGGCGCAATGGGCGCGCCCGCTGGTGATCTTCGAAAGTAAAGGCGATCCGTGGTATAACCAGCGCCGAAAGCTCAGACTCGTCCAAGCCCGCTTCTGATTGCTCCTCGAGGAAAGCGAGATCGCCTTTGTAAAGAGTGTTATGGGTTATTCGAATCCAGCGGCGACCAATGGCGAACGGGTCGTAGTAGGATGGATCGCTGGGTAGACGAAGCAGAAGATGTTGCTCTGCTGGTGCAACTGCTCGGGGTACCAACAAAGTGGTTCTTTTGTACTTGCGACGTTTCGGCCAAGAACGGGAGCGTCTGAAAGCACCTCCAGCGCATTTTTATAGCCTGGCTGTCCTGGTCGAGCAAAGTCGCGTGTCTCCCGAAGACAATGCCACTGCCAATACTCCAGGTGCCCACGCTGATAATTCCTGGTTGGAACATCGTGTACACGACGAGCGCCCACTCGTCTCCCGGTCGCCTTCGAATAGCGAACATGGGGGGGTCAGACGGTGAGGGGATTGGGTGTGGTCGTTCAACGCGATGTTTGGCGTTCTTGTCTTCTGGGGATGTCGATGTAGACGACGATGTTGATGAAGCCGAATCCATAACGGAGTCTCCGTCCTCATCGCGTCTTCGTTCTCGTCGAGTTGTTGTGCATAAGATGGCGCTCTGGCCATAATTTCCTGAATAGCAGCCCCAATGTCGATGTTGTTGTCGAGTCCGAAGTTAGCGCTGCGCGGCTGGCGCATCGCTGACATGTCCGCCTCATCGATAAAGCGGTCGTCAATCCAGCCTTCTTCCTCAGATTCTTCGCTTTCGCCTTCAGCAATACCAGAGTCCCCAGCTTCGAGATCAAGAAATGTACTAACAGGCCTCCGCGGTTTGGGAGACGGCGGTGGACTTAGCATCGCATCGTCAGGGTCAGGTAGGAAAAGTGGCTCCATTGCAAATCAGGGTAAGGCAGTAGCTATGTGTGATACGGTCCACAACACGCTCCAGCAGCAGTCCAAATAGCCCAGTTTTGTGGACTGAAACGAAGTTAGTGCAAGAATGATGAAGATGAGGTCGCGCACCTAGCGGCCGACGCGAAGGGGCGCGTCAGTATTGGCGCGCGTGCCGAGAAAGACCGACGCGTGTCGAAAGAGAGACAGAGAGCTTGCTGCTCGCATACGGCGATGAGACCTCGTCGGGGCAGCGAAAACTTAACTCACCGGTGTCTTCGTCGGCGTCGTCGAAGTATCGATGACGTGGCTTGCCAGCGAGGACGTACACGCGCCCTGTGGTTACGCGAGGTGAGCAGGGAGGACCAGCGGGCAGGGGAGGCACTTACCAGAGGTCGCGGCCGAGTGGGAAGGGAACGGGCGGGGCGGGAGATTGTGGGGAAGCAAAAGAAGGAGGTGGAAAAAGTTCCCACGCTCGGCCAGCAAGGTCAGTCGGAGCGTTCGGAGATAACTCCAAATTTGGACGACCCGAATGGACCCGAATAGAACCCGGCTGGACCCCGTCCCGGTCTGGAACCCGAGTGGACCCGCATGGACCCGCATGGACCCGCATGGACCCGCGTCCAAATTTGGAGTTATCTCCGAACGCTCCGACTGACCCCGCTGGCCGAGCGTGGGAACTTTTTCCACCTCCTTCTTTCGCTTTCCCACCTTCCCCGCCACGTCGTCCCCGTATCCCGCCCACCGCCTCCGCCCACATTGCAAGGCGCGGCCGCTGTACCTTCCGCCCGTGGCCACGCTAGAGTGCCCTAAATGGAGGCGAGATAGACAGAGAGTGGAGAACTTTCCCGGACTGTCGGGTCGCGTTGTCGTCTTTGCAGAAGGAGATTTGATTGGGTGTGCTTCGTGATATTCCGGGTTTTGAATAATGCTCATGTATTCTTTGCTGTGTATTTGCTGCTGTGTATTCGCCCCCTGCTTTGTATTCGATATCAGTACCAACTTGAAATCATCAC